TGTCCGAACTGAGGCTCGAACCCAAACTTTCTGCTTCGGAGACGAGTACACTAACCGCCCGCCACCACAGGCTATTTTTTCAGGAAATTGAAACACAGTAAATGCAAAGACAATAATAAAGCGTGCGAAAATTGCTGTAAAGACGCTGGAAGATTAGGCCTAGATAGATCTAGATTAGATCTAGAGTAGTAGTCTAGTTGGTTTTGTGCAAACGTGAAACGGGACCCCAATTGTACACTGTCAGGAAACACTTGTTAGTCTAATTCCATGGTCCATGACTATAACAACTAAATTTGATTTAAAGTCTAGGCTAGAGATTCTAGGCTTTACTAGCCTAGGCTATACTATAGATTCTAGATCTAGAGTTTTAGGAGTTTCATTTTTTTTTAAAACATAGAGCAGCAAGGCCTACCTGTTCTTCCCACTCTTCGGTGTTGTTGACTGCTGCTGTCTCAGTCTGTCTTGGGTGTCTTGGCCTAGCCTGGCTTTTAATGGCTTAGATTTAGAAGTACTCAATAAAATCGACTTCTCAGTTCGACTTCTTACTGAGACAGAGACATTGCCTACATCGAAAAAGGAAGCCCGCTTGTTCCTGTGGCCCTTTGGCAGAAGAAACACTGGATTTCACAGATACAGAATTCCAGGCGACATAAAGTTTGGCAGGCAAAATTTTCTAAGGTTATTGGTCCCCAGATATATAGTATGTCTATGGGGTGTAGTAGAAAGAATAACCTCCCTTTGACATATTCTTGCCAGATTGAATGTGTTTTTTATGTTTTTGTTTTTGTTAGCGTTTTGTTTGTTTGTTTTTTAAAATATCCTATATTGATTTAATCTCTACCTCTATTCGTCAGTTAAGTCTAAAATAAGTTGAGTAATTCTTTAGATTTACAGATATTGTCATATTTGGTCTTTGAACTCACGCCAGAGAAAATGGTAGCTAAGGATTTTTGTTTTTTGTCTCGCGTTTAGATGACTTGACTACCTGGCCCTGGCCCAGGTCTGGTTACTGGTTAGGCCTACTAGTTACTACTACTAGATCTAGTTTCTGCACACTGCAGATTTAGATTATATATTATTATCTGAAACCGAAAGAAATTGGTGGATGGTCGTATCAGTATCAGTCAACAAGAAGGAGAAAGACGACGTAGAATTCTGTGAAAGTCTGAAAGACGATCATCAGCAAACAGAAAAGGACCTTTTCAAAGACCATGGATCGGTTTGTTGTGAGGACTCCAAGAGAACAGGCAAGAGGAGAATGCTCCGTCTCCGTAAAGTCCGTGGGCGCCTCCAAGCAGAGCACTATCCATTCTTTGCCAGTGAGTGTTTTCAATTAGATTTAGATTCCCACCCCGCAATGAGCAATTGTTATTCACCAGTTTTGGCCCCAAGAGTAGGGGGGTTTCAGGGCGACCTAACCATGCCCTCCTGAATTTTACCACAATTTAATGTTGTGCTGTTGTTAGGTTTGATATCTTAGCTTGCCGCAAATCAAACGTATAGAATCTAGATCTAGATCTAGATGTAGGTCAGGCTCAAATAAGGGGGGGTGGGAACTACCGAAAAAGCGCCCTAAAATTTATGAGGGATAATCCGGTTTTGGCCCCAACAATAACACTATGGCATGAAGTGTGGGTTTTGGCTTCATGTCATGAAGATTTCTACTTCTGGTTCTAAATGATTACTTTTCAACACGTGTGCTGACACGATGTTTGGCGCTCAGCGAACAAAAGTCAAACTTAATTGAATTGCAAAACATTAAATTTTTAATTAATGGATGGTTAAAATCAGGGGTCCTTGCCCCCTCCCCCATGTTTTTAGGCGTCCAGCTAACTCGTCACACGGTGAAGTTGTCACCGTCACAGGGGGCTCTCATTGCCTAGAGCTAGAGGTTAAGGTGATCGCCTCTCATTCAAAGGTCACGGGTTTGAATCCGGGGAGCAACCGAAAAATGTTATTCTCTCTAAAATTGTCTCCTTTCACCTCCTTTCCTACAGGTCCCTTGTGTGCAAGTTGCACACGTTAAAGATTCCTTCTTGGTGGTCTAAAATCGATAAAAGTAGGCTTCAGCCGCCACCGGGGCAAAATTCAAAATTTCCTACCAACTGAAAATGTTTAATGTGTCCCTTGCGCTCATTTTGGGAGAACAGAGCACAGAAAGCAGCCACCAAGCCATCTCAAAACTGGAAGCTAGAGCACGAAGGATCCCAAACCTGATAGACATTTATGCGTTTTATTTTTGTGTTTCATCTGCAAATAGCACCTTCATTGAGTGATGCTGGATATGTTTAGAAAGAAAAATTGTATTCATACAAGTTTATAGTCCTGTACATGTTTATTTTGTGAAAAGAAACTGGTGCTGTATATTGGAGATACGTCCGTATATCATTATTTAGGAGGATACACATTTCATTGGATACAAAAAGCCATGAAGAATGCAGGGAAGCGTTTTTTGGTTATCATGCTCATGACAAGTTCCATGTTCGTGCTGGGGACAAAATTTTGAGTGAGTCAATTTTTAAACACATTTTCCTGTCTTACGTAGCAGTTTTGTAAATATTAACTAGGCTTATAAGTTAGGGAGTGTATACAGACCCGGTAACCGGGAATAAAGTCACAAAGTATACAGACCCGGTAGGGGAACTCTTCTGTGATTTCGGAAAGTTTCAGCGCCCTCTTGGCTCAGGGTAGACCTAGGTTCTTCTAGATCTATGGCCTAGGTCCGGATCTAGATAGACATAAATCATTGATCTAGTTTCGAGGCTAGCCTAGAGAGAGAGAGAGAGAGCGAGCTCTAGATTCTGGCGTTTTTCCTCTGTTTTGGAGTTGGAGGAATTACAATTTGAAGAAAAGAACAATGTCCTGATTTCAATCGAGCAGTCACCCTCCCTCTCTCTCTCCCTCTCCCTCTCCCTCTCCTTCTCCCTCTCCCCCTCCCCCTCTCTCTCTCCCTCTCTCTCTCCCTCTCCCTCTCCCTCTCCCTCTCCCTCTCTCTCTCTCTCTCTCTCTCTCTCTCTCTCTCTCTCTCTCTCTCTCTCCTTCCTGTCCTGTGTATCGCTCGCATTCTCTTTGTATGTCTCTGTATATCGCTTGCATTCTCTTTTTATTTGTATGTTTTTTCTGTCTTTCTTTCTCCCCACCTATTTCCCACTCTTTCTCTCGTTCCCTCCTGCCAACTGGGGCAGGTCCTATATTTTGCTAGCACTTCCCCCTGCTCTCTCTCTCTCTCTCTCTCTCTCTCTCTCTCTCTCTCTCTCTCTCTCTCACACACACACACTCACACACTCCCCCACACTACCGGGTCTGGGCGCTGAAACTTTCCGAAATCACAAAAGAGTTCCCCTACCGGGTCTGTATACTTCGTGACTTTGTTCCCGGTTACCGGGTCTGTATACACTCCGTATAAGTTATTAGCCACTCAAGTTTGTTGTTTTTACTAACTATAAATAGACATAAATTTTAAGAACACCTAACTCCAAAACATGAGCAGCCATGGTATTGCTTTTTTGTACAATAAAGAAGTTAAGTTGTTCTCTATAAAGAACAAATTTGTGTTCACGTATGAGATTTTTTGTTTGTGTAAGCTGATAAAACGTGTTGAAAAATTCATTTCACCGGCCACCGACGCAGGTAGTGGGAGGTGGGGTTAGTGACCTCTGGGTGACCGGCCCGCCGTGACTCCATCGCCGAGCCAATTAAAAGAGCAATGTTTGTACGCCGTGCGGAAAAACATGAATAAATGCGAAAAGATACAATACCGGTACCTATTTGGGAGGGGATTTCAGAGTAGTCTCCGGTAGCTTCGCTACTCTCAGTTGGCTCGCAACGAAAAAAGTGTACACCTCCTCTATGCCCTACGTACATGACCCCTGTTTCGACTGGTACCTGTTTTTACTGAGATTGAGCGAGAAGTTCATTAAAACTCAGGATTCGGACATAGCAGAAGAATTGTTTTGAGGAAAAAATTTTAAAAACAAAACAGTCGACTTGAATTTCCATGGGCTAGATGTGCGCATGATTTTTTGCCACACCGATAGGTGTAGAGAACTTGCCTGAGCCAAACCAAAACAATTGACTTGAATTAAGGCTACTTTTCATGGGACTGTTATAAATGTTGCATACACGCACATACTTGCAAGTCCCCCTCCTCCACCCTTCCTCCAAGCCACTTGCACGCACGTACACGCACTCACACACACACACATTCGTTTTAAAAAATATGCTGAAATCATCAGGATAAGGCAGTAATTCCCGCATTGGTAGATCTATAGTTCTAGTGGTCTCTTTTCTGAAGCCAGTCTTTCATCCATGTTTTTCTCTTTTTGTTTTTCTTCGCCTCTAGCAGCACATAAATTGCAAGCAAATTGTCATTGTCAGTACACACGCTGCGGTTTAGTGTGATGTGGATGACGCACCGACCCGTCAAATGGCAGTTTTGCGTGGTTTCAACGCTGGTTCCCACTCTGGTTAAAAGCACCTGGTTGGAAGGTATATGTGTAGGGCCCTAGGCCTCCAGGTTTCTGGGCTTTTGTCATAGGATAGCAGATCTCCTCAATCCTACATCTTGGTACATCTCGGTTTTAAAAAAAGGGACCAGTTTCGACTGCAACTTTTTGTAGCCCAAAAAAAAATGCTGATAGTCCACTCATTGGTTTGCTTGCTAGTCATGCTTCACCTGCTTCGTTCTTTTTTCAAATGGATATGGGACGGGGAACGGGCAAAATTCAAAATTTCCTACGAACTGAAAATGAATGTGTCCTGCACACTCATGTGACCTTATGATGCAGTTGCGAGGGCTGTAAAACACTTACAACAACAAAAAATTCATGTGGCGAGAGGTGAATGTCAAAAATCCACAAGACGTGTTTAGCAACGTAATTTTCCACTTGTCACAGTGGCACCCAACGCCACAAGGTAAGGAAAGTCCTATCACAGTAATTACATAATTAATAATAATTGTAATGCAACAAAAAAGAAAATGAAACGTGGAAAGAACGTCATTCACCAATCTGGCATTGATCCTGAAGTCTCGGGAATTCATCATGACGGAATATAAATAAACTTGTAGGGACCGTACATGGAAAGGATTTATAACCCAAATTTTGATCAAAATAAACCTGAAAATGAGTCTGAAGTCTGAAGGGACTCAAATCAGATGGGTTTTTTGTGTCTATTCACGTGTTTTCGCATTTTAGTATGACCCAGTTCAGGCCAAAGGGCTACAACAACCCAGATGGCCACTGGATAGGAAAAGTAAAGTAAGTTTGACCCAGATTCTCTTCTACCCAAATATTGCACTTCCTCTGTGGGCTTTTGTCCCATGCCGTGGCGTGCCCGCTTTATTGCTTAGCACGTGATGGGCTATGTCAATAGGCGACGCGAGGTTGGTTTCATCGCTGACTGCTTGAGGTGTGTGTGTGTGTGTATGTATGTGTACAACTCTGTTTGGGGAGGAGAAGAGGAGGTACAGAATGGTACAGACTAAATTTATGGAACTAGAATTGCTGAGATTGTTTAAAGATTTATTATATACTAGCTGGGTATCCTGTTCGATGAACGGACTCAAAAGAATCGATTGTCTAGTCATTGTGGGATCAGTGCGCGCACTCCTTGTGAACGGAAGCCTCACTTGTTTACAATGGTGTCTTAGAAGATGGATTTTCCCAAGAATAGATCTAAACGAAACTAATGGAAAACTGAAAATTAAACTACAGTGACTTCAGGCTCCTCAATAAAACTGTGCACCCTTTAAATGATCACCATTAATTTTTTCAAATTTGAAAGTTAGGTGGTTCGGAAGTTTGAGGCGGCCAAAGTGACAAACTTTCACAAATATAATATGTAAAGATAAGAAAACAAAAATCAACATACAAATAAAAACAAAAAGAACAAAAGGAAAAAAGGGGGGGGGGGGGGGGTGAATGAGAAGGAAGAAAAAACCCTGAAAATCAACAAACAAAATCGAGGAAAATTATTTAATGATTTTTAAGCGGCAAGATGTTCACCCATCGAACTCATGTAGTTTTCTGTCCAGTCATTCGAGATCTCAATGATGGTTATAGTGTCATAGTTAGTCTAGCATGTTGTCACTGGTCGACATCATATTAATTATAGAATTACCAGACAAACAATGACATTGTTTTTTGTGCTATGAAAGTAATTTTCTTTGTCCAACTTAAGAAGTGCGTGTATTGTAGTGTAGCGGCACACAGTCTTGCCTTACGATTTTTTTATGACTTGATGTTATGATCTTTTTTAACTATGTCTGGCAGATTCAAACTGTCCTTGTCTCTTCTTAGTGATATCAAACAACAACTAGTTGTTTTCCCATCATCTGGGTCCTTGAAATACGAAGTCTGGTGCTGTGTAAAGAGAGTCACATTACCTCTCTCTCTCTCGAGAGAGAGAGAGAGAGAGAGAGAACATTTTCGATATAATAACATAGTCTTCTCAGATTGTTACTTTTATTTCTTACGAAAAAGTTTGACTCTGAGTGCAATGATCTGACCAAGTTGACGATATAATATTATGGATCGGATCCCTGTAGCCGTGCTGGACTAATTTTGTACAATTAAGGAAAATTTAAAAATAAACTCGCTTTAGAAGAGGATACATCAAAGAAAACTCATGGAGACCAAACCTTGATTCCGAATAAACCAGTATTAAATCAAGCTGTTGAAAACATACATGTGTTTGAACAGCTCATCTGGTTTGGACATTGACAACAGTGATCATTTTAATATTTTGGCCTGCTTCAAACGTTCCATCCAATGAGATGGAAAACAAAGCACCCTTACAGAATTAAAATCAAGATATGGGATTTGGAAAAATTGGATATGGTACCTGGGAAACAAGAGGAGAGAGATGGAACTCAGAAGGTGGGATTCGGAAGATGGGACTGGTCATATGTGTACAAAAATGACTATTGCACCGGGTCAGCCTCGGAACCGACGCAGAGAGAAAATGGCAGGAATCAAAAGATATTTTCATAATAACCAGCACCCCTCTCTTTTTCTCTCTCTCTCTCTCTCTCTCTCTTTCTCTCTCTCTCTCTGTCTTTCTCTCCCTCCCCCTTTCTCTCTCTCTCTCTCTCTCTCTCTCTCTCTCTCTCTCTCGCTGCCCGCAGACAAAATTGCAAGCTTTTAAATCAAGAGCACTGGAACGTTTGTTTACACTTGTATGTATCACAGGCTATCACGCGTTAAGACAAGGTCGCGCCCAAGTCTCACTGAGAAGATAGGGCAACTGAAGCATCTTGGTGGTAGTAGAGAATATTTGCCGTGATGGTACTGATACTATAATTATTGAGCTCATGAAGGGTAGAAACCTGTGCGACACAGATATGAAATTAAAATTTTTACATATAGACTATCCTTCTGACAAGTTGAAAAATTGTTTAGTTCTTCACAATGGTGCAATGTCATTGTTCCTTTGTTCACTCTTTTCATAGTAGCCCAGTTGTGGCAGCTTCCTACTTTGATCTAGTGTTTGGATGTAGCAGGTGGTAGATCTGGTTCATTTTTCTTTTAGTCTCATATTTTTGGTACATTTCTTTTTTCCAGGGTGTTGTCGTCATAGAAGAAATCAAACGGATGAAGGCTAAGCTGAAGCTTCCAAACCAGAGCAAGCCAGTGATGCTCGAATGCTTGAAAGAGCTTGGGAAGAAAATTCCCCCTCGTCATGTTTTGGTTGACACAAAAATTGGTAAGATTTGCCTGCTTGCAATTTAAGCTCCGGAGACTGGCCTATTTCAGTGAAATATCTAGAAGAACATAATTTTTTTAGTGCCGTTTTAGTTGAAGGTCTACTGCACTACAGCTGTCTATATATCGTAAGTCCTGGCTGATCAACCACGGTCTACTTTGAAGTATAAGTCCCTCCTAATAGGCAACAATAATGGCAAGGCTGGGGGCATTGTGAGGTGAAAGGCTATGGCATTTACATTTGCGGTGTATATGTTGGTGGATTGCTTCATTTTGTGGTGTGCTTTAGATCAAAGGATTCTGTGGTGGTAAAAATTATGATTGACAAGCAAGCCGCTACAAGTGGCCAAGCATGGGACTATAATTTCAATAATACCTACAAACTCCAAAACATTTTTAATATGGCCAATGACAGTCCCAAACCTGGATGAATGCAAAGGAAAACTGTAAACTGACCCTTTTCACAAGTCCCAAGCCAGTATAAACTGGTAGACCTTCAACTAACCAGTTGTCAGACCAGTCTGGCTGTAGACCTTCAACTATACCAGAATCTGCTAAAACCGGCAACATGTTTTACTTTACCTTTTTATACATGACACAGCCTATTTCCATGCTTCTATTAGACATTCTAAGGTCTTGTCTCAGTAACAGACCATGAATTGTTGCAATAAATCTCAAGCTATGACATTATAGTATTATATAGATTTGAGTTCTCTCATTTTAATGGCTGTTGCATATTTCTTTTAATTCATTGAGCCACCAGATAATGAAAATGTTTGGGGTCTTTTTTTTTTTGGTAAGTGTTTTACGACGCTCGCAATTGCATAAGGTCATATGAGCGTGCGGGGCACATTAAACGTTTTCAGTTGGAATGAAATTTTGAATTTTGCACAGGTGGCTTCCGAAGCCTACTCGTATTGATTTTGGACCACCAAGGAGTCTTTAGCGTGCACAACTTGTACATGGGATCTCCGAGATTTTTCGCTGTTGTCCGAGAAGGCTAGGTGTAAATCTTACCTATCATAAGATCAGGGGTATAGCCGAAAAACGGCAGTAAGGAAGAGCCTAGGAGTAGCAGTAGAACGGCTGCAAAAAGGAGTCAGGAGCCCAGAGGAGAGCAGGAAAGGATATGAAAGGAGAAACTAGCATAGAAGAAAATTTTTCTGTTGCTATCCAGATTCAAACCTGGAACCTATCGAATGAGGGGCGAACATCTTAACCTCTAGACCACAAGAGCCCCCTTGAAAATGTTTAGTGAAGATGACATAAGATCTACTTTTCATATCATGTTCTTACATTTTCAGGGCACATTGTAAATAAGTTGAAAAAACACCCCGATGAGGACATCTCGAGACAGGCAAAAAGAGTATACATAAAGTGGAGAGCCTTCTTCGAAGAACACGTAGACAAACCTCAGATTGAAGTCAAGTGCGACAAAAAGGCTGAGAACATGAGGCTGAGAGGGAAAACATATTTGTCAGAAGCTTTAGGCTTAGAGGTGAGTTTTAATTTCCCAGTAGTTGGTGTGTGCAATATTATTTTGTTTCCTTCTTGCATTGCAAACTTTCTGATTGTACCAAATTATTGCAAGAGTTTGCTCCATTAATTTTAAAAAAATTTGAATGCTGTCAAATAGTCTATCAAAGTATGTGATACAGTAGTCTCCGCCTAAACACACGCCATACAAAAGCATGCTCTGCTCAAACGCACATTTTCATCATGTGACAGGTTTTTTACTATATAGTAATTTACACGTACAAACTCATGGTCACTTCTTCTAAATGTACGCTTCGATCCAGGAAACACGCCGACAGGTAAAGCTTGACAAGGGGAAATTTTCGCTGCAGCCTACACAGCTTGCATAACACAAGTCTAGACAACCAGATATTAGGCGAGACTTCCCCTCACGCAGATGGGCCACGTTTTCACACCTAACTTTCCACTGGCTCATAGGTCTAGTACTGGTCAGGTGATGTTCTGGGAAAGGGGGGGGGGGGGACTGAAATGTCTATTGATTGGTCACTCGAAATGCGTCTTTGAGAGAATGTTTCTGACTGGTGTTTGAATGATTGCATATGCCATGTTAAGTTAGGACAATGATGCGCAACAGGCTTGAGTGCTCTAGAACACTAGACAGGTCTGTTTAGGATTGAAGATTAGTCAAGTAATCAGCTGCGCTTGAAGAACTTATAACGTAGTTGTTCTACGAATCACAAGAGAAAAGTCTCCGCAATGTCTGATTCTGATGTCATCCATGCATTGGCGAGTTGCAACAGATGACAGGCAGTTGAGAGCGGTTGCTTGGAAAGCCGCGCCACTGAGCACTTTTCCCTATGACTGGATCTATCACCACCAGTCCGTCTCTCTACCCCAACATTTTATAGTGCTCATCAGTACAATGACCCCCCCAATTCAACGCCTTTGTATTCATTCTTAAATTAACCGCAGTCGGGGAATCCTTCGCAAAACAGTCACGTGTAGTCACATTATCGGCAAAAGTCCCCCCCCCCAAGGGAGGTCACTAAAATAGCAAAGAAATGAGAGGATTGCGTCTCTTGCTCCCTTTGTGCAGGTTCATGTAAACGCGTGCTCCATGCAAACACACGCTAAGGAGCCCTCCCGAGCACCTTCCGTTTAGGCGGAGACTACTGTACCATCTTTACCTTACCTATACTACGTTGATATTTTTTCTATCTCTCATTTTGTATCACCAAATTCTGTGTTATGTGGTCGAGACAAATATTCTACAGCTATTTTTTGTTTGTTTGCCATTTGTGTTATGATTTTTTTAACATAGTGCCTAGATCACCTTCTTTATTTGTTTGTTTAAATAGGTCTTGAGGTTGATCTTTTTTCCTCTCAAACTCAATATTGAATTGCTTGGCACTATCTCTTACAATTCAGCTTCAGCCTTAGCTATTCATTTTAGATTAGTATAATAAATCATGACATGAAATAGCTACTCTTGTGTGCTACTTTTATTATCAATTATTGAGGGCATAAAATAATTGAACATGGTGTGCTTCTTAATTGTCTGTTGTAATTAGTTTTTGCCGCAATGTAGCTCTCAGGTAAAGTAAACATCATTTTTACCTATATTTGGTGCATATTTCTTTGGCAGAGAGAACATGAACTTGTGGAAGCCATAGAACGAGAGGCCTTCTTTACGAACAAACGGCTCATCAGTCCTGCATACCGACGGTCCATGCGCAACTTTGTGTTCAAGCTGAGAAATTCTGAGGAGCTGAAGACTTCTGTGCTGGCGGGTGATTTAACGGTGGAGGACTTTGTGAAACAATACAAGAAGAGCTAGCACTGAGTATTTTTTTTTTCTTTTACTTGTAAATTTGTGAGAAACATAATTTTTATACTTTTTTTTACAGTTTTCAGTGGTTCACTTTTTGAGAATGCAGGTGTTAAGCAGTGTCAGTAGTGAAAAATGTGTTTTTGTACATAGGTGTATGTGTTTTTGCTTTTTTTTTTTCTATGTCTCTGCGTGCGTGTGTGTTGCCTTGGCTGTATATCTGGTTTAACAGTTAGGCACCTTGCTGTTCTACGCAATACTACCGAAAGCTAACGAAACATCTTTCTTTTTTTCATTTTTGTCCCAAATTTTAAAAAAATTTTTACTGCATAATCGAAAGCCTGATCAGAGTTACCCTACTTGTATGAAAAATCAAAGTGAAACTGTGACTAGTTTTTTTTAATGAGTTAGAATTCAAATTTCGGAAGAATACCTTTTTTAAATGGTTACACTAACAAAACTGCTGTGAATGAAAGAAAGGCATTTTGTCAGCTTACGGAAGAATATTAGTGAGTATCAATTCCTAAGGTGGGGTGCTTTTTAAAAAAATAAAATTGAGTATCTCCATCTGACTGCTGGGATGTTGTATCCCTTTCAGCCTTTTAGCGGACAGGCAGGGTCAAAGGAGCCCACCTCATAAATGATATAAATAGTGGCGGTAGCCAGAAACTTTTAAATGGTAAGCATTATCCAATGCAGAAAAGTACTGGTACTTGACACAAAGAGCACCAGAAATGTGTTTCCACCCTATTCCTGGTGTGGCATTGTGATCAATCTCCATCAGCTACTTGAAGTTCAGACGATCATTGAAGGCAGTCATTGCCATGTCTGGAAGATAGGCTGCAGCAATACTGAGGACACATGAAAAGAAAAAAATAATTGTGTTAGGTAAATCAATTTTTTACATAGAAACTGCTGTCCCGTGGAAAGAACAGTGTTGTCAAATTTGATCTAACATAGAGTATGGCTAGCGAGTACAAGTTACTCAAAGTAAGCCTATTCAGAGTGTTGGTTGATTTTGATCAGAAAGAAAAGCAAATATGATTGTTAAGTAGTCAGGTACAACAGTAGTCCAATGTGCATATTAAAAAATTGTTATTCTTGGAGTTTTTCGTTCAAAATTCTTCCCCCGCCTCCTCAAGAAAGTAATTAAGTACTGAAACTAAAATAGTAAAGAAGAATTTTAAAAATTACAGTATATGTAGAGATTTGTTTAGATCTAGATCTACTTACTTTCCAGCATAATATCCAACAATAGTCTGATCTTGTAGTTCTGGTGTCCACATGGTGATTGTGCTCTTGCCTCATTCAGGTGAAAATATTTTGTCAATTTCTCGTAGCATGTTTTTCCCATCGTATCAGCAATCTCTTTCACCCTAAGCCTGTCATCTGATGATTATAGTACATTGCATATTCAGGGAGCTGGTGAACACCCATCAGGATGTTGATGTGAAAATATAGTTTCATTTCAGCAGCTATCGTTTCAAACCAGCCTCTGTCTGTTTTGTTTGCAACCTCCTGATGCCACTTTGCATATCTGCTGGTCTCCTTTGCTGCCAGTTCATAGAAGTTCTCAGAAATGATCAAACTAAAGTAATCAAACGGCTCAACATCCCATCTGTCTCACTGTCTTGTCGTAAAGCCTTCAGCTCCTCTTAAATCTCCAAACTAATTTGTCAAGACTCATGAAGTTCCATGTTTCCAAAAAGGCTGTCACTAAAAGGTCCAGAGACCCACTCACACAAAATGGCGGTCGTTAAATGGACCGTTTCACTCCTAACTTCACAGATAACGGCAGGAAAAATTGACAAATACTCGTTATTCACAATCCTAACTAACACATCAGTTGCAACCAAATATTCTTCACAACATAACACTCACTATAACATACAATATCACCACAATATCTGTCTGAAAATAAAAAAGAACAACCAAGAAAACCTTACAGCGATACAAAACACTGCTTCAAACTCAAATTCATGTAACTGGAAAAGGCTTCATTAAACACAGTACTGACGCTGTAAACAAAAATGTGAATCCAGTTTGGTTAATTTGCATCTTGTGAAAGGAAAAGTGTTAAAAATTGTGTTTTTGTCAATGATGAAGTAGAATTTACATACTTTGGCTTGCACCTGTGGACAATGTATGATGTATGGCCCAACGACATGAGCCTTCGGACACTGGTTAGGCCTTCCCTTATGGCAGGCGGTACGGAAACAAGCAAACTTTCTCGCCTGCAGCGCAAACTCCTTCATTGCCTGAAACTGATGGTACTTTTGTGTACCAGGGATCGTTTGGATGTCGGGACTCAGCTCCACTCTCTCAGTTTCTGCCTGGATATCAAGAAACAAAAAGTATTTTAAAAAGACTTAACCTACAAATCATCCATATACAAATCATTTAATTATCTTTCTAAATCTCAATTATCAACACCCCTTCTGTCTGTGCCATATTTCTTTGAACGATAGTCCACCATGAGCTTTGCGCAGAAGTTTCTTCTTCCTTCAACGACTGCCCTCTTCAGGGCCTGGCTCAGGTTACCAGTCTCTCCATCTGACTGTCTCTTTCTGTGCTTGGTGACGTTATAGCACTTTTGGGGCTGATGGCGCAGGAGGGTTAGATCGCGAAAGCTGCCTCTTCCGTGTAAAATAAATCAAACAACAAAATTGTCTCTTTATTCACCTTGTCTTCTGGTCCTGAAAATCACTCTAAATGGTGAGCTTTTTAACTCTTTGCAGACGCAGGGTTAGAGACAGCTGCATTCGCTGGTGACGCGTGAATTTTAGCCTTTATAAGAGGCCCATAAAAACATTACTTTCAGAGATCGAACAAAACAGGTTTCTGTTTTAGAAATTACAACAATAGAACTTTTTAGGTAACAACATCATTTAGCTGGGGAAAAAACCCAATAGCTTTGATCCAGTTTATTGAAGAAAAAGTGGTCCATCAGACCAAAAAAACAAAAAATTCCTCCAGGCAGAACAAACATTCAGGTACAATGAACGGACAAGACAGAAGTAATGAAAATAGAGGTCTCTAATACACACAAATGTACTCACATTGCAACAGAAAAGCCACATTACAACAAATAGTTCTTTTTGGTGTGATAATCCATGAATCAGGGGTGAGCACAGAAAGTTTTATTACAAGTGTCACATGTGATAGATCTATATGACTTGGAAATTCTGTTCCTGAATTCCTCACTGCTTGCTCCTGCGCAGGCTACCTTTGAATAGCACACAAAGCTGTTATTCCTTTTCTTCTTAGCTGCATCCAATGGAACAAGGAAATGCCTTCCAGACAACCTGTCAACACATGGTCCTTTGTCAATGGTCAGCTCAACATCACAGCGGACAGCAGCTAGTCCAGTGCAGACTTCCATGACAAATCTGCTGAGCTTCAGGGCTTCTGCTTGTCGTGCAGGATTGAGGCCTGAACCATGCAGAGTGTGAGGAGGTGCAGGGCTACCTTTTTCCACCACTTGATGGTTTTGTGGTGTGACAGTGTGGACAAAATGAGCTGATTGCTTCGGTTGACACCCCCCCCCACAGTTATGTTTGATGAGTAGTCGATGACTGCTGCTGGCTTCAGTTTTGTTTCTGTGCATATATGTGTTGTGTCATGTTTGGAAGGTGTTTTGTTGTGAGGATCTGTACATCTCTTTTGTCTTTCCATTTCAGAGCCAGAACTTGATTTCAATGTCTGAATCTGCTCGGGTTGCAAATTTGTGGTCATGAGGTCTTTAGGTAGACCAATGTGGTTGGCTCTGACTGTCCCCACGACCGTTGTGTTGTTGGCTGCAAGTGTGTCAAACAACAAGGGGTTGCAGTAATAGTTGTCTATAAATAGACAATAGCCCTGATTGAGGAGGGGCTGAATAAGACGATTTACGACATCAAAGGGTGTGTTGCTGACATCTGGCTGTCCAGACATGGTTTTGAAAGCCCAGACATACCCGCTGTTGCTCTCACAGAGTTCATAGAGCTTAGCACCCGACTTTGTTGGTTTGTCCTTCCTATAAACTCTCATGTGAGAGCGCTCTCGTTTATATGTATTGTTCTGGGACATAGGTGGCCTTGAATGTCTGTGAATAGATGAAAAAAAAAGATGGTAAGAAACTGACACTCAAACTTGACAAACAATTTTTGGTACCTGTTAGGAGAAAAATATCAGAACAAAAGGAATAACATACTATGAAAATAACACTAATAATACTTTTGATCTTGATGAAAGAATACAATTTTTTCATTGAGATTTCCAGGTTTTTACATGGTACTTATTTCATTCCATATTTTTTTACAGTGATCAATCTGGGTTGTTTTTTTCCGTTTTAGAACTGACCATTATACACATTGAATTTTAGGATTCATTCTCGAGATTTATCTGTGTTCAAAGAAAATATAAATAGTGTTTGGCCTTATTTTGACAAACAGTCTTTCCTATATTCATTGTAATAGTAATAACAAGGAATTATGACATGACTGAAGGCAGAGAAACAGAAGGGGAAGTTGGAAAAGAATTATAAGAAGGGAAATGAGAATAAGCGGAGAGGGAGGGAGGGAGAGACAGAAAGAGAGTTGCAGGACTGTTAATCAAGGACTAAGATTCAACTTACCTGAGTGAGACTGTTGTAGAGCGGCCTTATCTTGTGTAGGGGATCATGACCTGGTTGCCCTCTCGGTACATACGTGCTGTTGTCATTCAAGTGAAAGAAGGACAGTATAGCTTTAAAGTGGTCCCATTTCATTAGCTGCGCTACGAGAACGATGAGGGCATACATGGGCTTTGTGACCAGTAGTCAGAAATAAATGGTTTGTCTACAAGGTTGATGTGGATAAGTATCACGACTTATGCAGTTGCGAGCACCGTAAAACCCCATACTAAAACTGAACTAAGTATCACGAGGAATTTGTACATCTCGGCTTTGGTGACGGCTCTCCACTGTTTGTAGATGTAGCGTGCTGACAGTTCGACTGCTTGACACTCTTTCTCAATGATGCAACATCTCACATACGGGTTTGTTTCAACCTTCATATGGTCAATCAGTACATCTGTTATGAAGGAACGATAAAGAGAAAGTGGCGAAATTTCCCCTGTCATGTCCACTTTCGTACCCGGTGTTCCTGTGAAGGGCGGAATGAGGAGAAAGTCGTGAGGTCTTGACACCAGTCATGTAAATAACTGTCATTAACCTCAGATTCGGTTTCTATCCATATCTGGATCAAGTGACCCAAGTCGATTCTGAAGTTATCAACAGATGCATTCTGATGATTACCTTGGGCAGTGTTGTTGTTACGCATAGTATTTGCTGGCCCTTCATCCTCAGCCTCACTGTTAGTAGTGTTAGTGTCCCTCTCAGATGAACTGTCTTGGTCCCTGTCTGCATAGCCAGGCATAAGTAGACCCACCTCTTCCTCATCATCTGGATCAGGAGAACCATTGTCAGCTAAATAGCTACAAGCTTCACTTTCTAAATCAACAACTACTCCATCTTCTTCATCAGATTCATCTTCCAGCACAATTTCAAGCGCATCGAAAACCGTTAAGACTTCTCCTGGATGCATATTTTCGGTTGTACTTTTGATTACTCAATGTGATTATGACTTTAACAAAAACACTTCGAAAAACAGTATCAGTTCAATTATTCAACGGTCAAAGTCAAAGGGACATAAATATGTATCAAAATAGCTAAACTTTTATTTCCCGAGATATCAAACTTGTATCCCTTTAGATGTGTGTACCATAGGAATCTTAAAAATTCGTCTGATACATTTGTCTGACGCGTCGACTAGCGTAATACAGCCTGTCGGACAAATGTGTCCAACGCGTCTGCATAGAGTGAATGGTCAGCTTCTGCCTCAGCAGCTCCTGTGACCATCTGGTGAATTCCTTGGGTGATGTCATCACTGAGGAAAATCAAGCTGTCCCTAAATATTGTGTCACTAGCCCTGTGAAAGGCCACAACTGGGTGCACAGCCACTTACTGCTTGCCAAAGTGAGCGGACTTGATCTCAGGTGTGTCTGCAGCCTTCCTGTGAGACGAAGAGTAATTGCAAGAGCAATAAGTATAAAAAATACAGCAATTTTTATATCTTGCAAGGTGGCAAAAATAATATGCTGATAATTTACCTTTCTTTGGGTTCTGGCTGCACACTTTAAATTGATGGTACTGCCAATATGCTGTGAAGAGGTGCTGCAGGAAGCTATGCCCTTTGGTTGGATTCGTCATTTTCACTGATGCTAGGTGCAGATTCCAACCACCTTGTCTTGTGGCTCTGATAAACAATAATGTTCCTATCATGTCTAGATATGAAGACCAAAAGGCAAACGTGGGGTGTTTGTTGGATGTCTCAGAAATGTATTTGTTGTATTTTTCAGTTAATTGATCAAATTCATCTGAAAATTCCAACTTTTGGAAAGAATTGGAAAAGTTTTTACATATTACCACAGATTTTTCATTAGCCGATAATGTATATTAAAAAAAAAAAAGAATTCCACCTTAATCTTTGAAGAGCGTCGTACATAATTTTATGTGTCCGAATACTTCGGTTGTAATAATGACCATTCATGACCCCATTTCAAGAGCCTGGGGCAACGAGTCCAGAATCAATAACTATGTCCTCAAAGCCAGAGTCCTGGAACCTTTTTCCAATGACTGCCATATACGCCATTGCCTGATGGTAGTCCCCTAACCGAATGACAAGCCTTTTCTGAAATTCTGCATTCTCCAGCGGATTTGTTGTGCTTTAGGACATATTGGTTGATCCATAACAAGCACAATGTGCTTAAGACCAATTTCATCTGCAATTTGTAGACTTCTGTGTAAGATGCTATAAACAATGCTCATTTGTGTAGGGGATGCGTCAATGACAGGAAGATAACCAATCTTATGTGTGTCTATTTATTGCACCTTCAAAAATGTCCAGTGCAAAGTTCAAGCATTTGTATGTTCTTTATTTATGTATTCTAAAATGTATGTGTATGGACACAGAACTGCGGGTGGTTGGAGGGTGCCTCTTGTAGGTGCTATTTCCTTCCTATCAGTCAGTTGTTCCTGTTTATTTGTTTTGCTTCCTAGCAGTAAACAATTGTTATGTTATAGTTATATGTGCATTTTTTTTTTTTCAGGACTACTCAAAACTTTGATCTGGGTGGGGGGTTTTTTGGACTTGTCATTACAAACATGTGATTTATTGTTGATTATGTCATGAATAAAAATACCCCATTTTGAATTCTTTGTTTTTATTTAAATTGAATGCCTTACAGGACCATGTTAGTCTTGTTAAAGGCTGGTTCAGGGAAGTGTGAGAAAATTTTGGGATTTTCATGAGATTCAAACCAGAGGCTGCAGTGATTTCATTAACAATTGTGCTTCCTCTTGGTCAATAAGTTCAACACTGACATGATAAACCTTTTTATGATGTTTTGCTGATACCAAGATAACCATTCAATTGTCTTTATTTTAATAAGAATGTTATAGCACTTGCAACACATTTAGGTCTCATTAAGTTCCAAGGACATGGAGGCGAGCAGTACAAGCGGAAATGGAAAAGGCAGGGACATCATGGAAACAGCTAGAAAAGGATGCACAGAACAGGCTTTGCTGGAGAAATGTTGTTGATGGCCTATGCTCCACTGGGAGTTAAAAAGCGCAAGAGAAGAGAGAGAGAGGAGTTTGAAAGATTAGAGGTGCTACAAGAAAGTAACGTATGCAGAAAAAGGCGAGGAGATAGGGGCAATAGAATAAGTTCGATTGTCATATTATGGTCAGCAAAAAGAAAAGGAAAAAAAATGCCCTTGAATAGATGATGTTAAAATTCATGTCAGCATTAGCACCTCTTTCAAACTTCCTTTTCATTTGACAAAAAATATCTTGATAATTTATTGTAATCCAGGATGTAGTGCATTTTGTCTTTCCACTACACTACCAGTTGATTTTTTAAAAAAATTTTTTACTCTGTAAAACAAGTATGGTTGAATTCTGCAACAAAGTGTCAAACAGTCCATCTGGAAAAGCTTTATAAAGGAAACATAAGACGGCCAATTCAATGTTTTGGTTGAGGAGAGGAATAGGTGAAGCATCACCGTGGACTGGATTGAGATTTAGTAATGGAGTCAAGAGCAATTTCTAATTATAAAGATAAACCCTGTGTCTTGCACACTCCGGGCACTGTAAGGAAGCAGCTGTATTCACTACTCATACTCATACCAAAGAAATGTCACATGTTATTCAAGCTAGTAAATGGCATTCTGATACTCGATTGCATATTGGGCTCCATTTGTTCTACTTTAAGATATCAAATGATTTGCTTATGGTGCATTATTGGTTTAACCCGAGGATACCGGAACTTATTTTGGTAGCCTCGGTTTAACCCAATACATGTACATTTCACAATGCTGTCTTTCATTGTAAGTGTGCTTTTGTATAGTGATCATGAACTACTAGTGAGCTGGCAGCAGTGTGCATAGTTGCAAGCGCCTTAAATTTTTACCCAACAAGTGTGCATGTGAAGTGCTACAATTCAATGACAAGCATTACATGTATTAAAATCATGGTCTGTGATGTGGCGGTTAGGTTAGGCGCTTCTCCATCGCATTATACAGTATAATGCGGATTGATCGAACACAAAAGACTCGAAATCACACATCAGTGGAACTGTGCCTGCGGTCCCATTTTTTTTTCTTATCTTTGTAAGATATCCCTTGAACTGCGGATCCCTTGAACAATCGTGGCCAGTCCCGACGAATTCGAGCTATCCGTGTTATACTGTATATATAGAAGACTTGAATTCAATTCCAATGTGGAGATAATTTTTTTCAGGTAGGCTGCTGGGACGCTGTATTCTTCTCAGCCCAGGTTTGCCGTAGCAACATGCAGGGTCAAACCCCGGCTCCTAATTGATCCAAATTGTGTTGATAGGAGCATAAGGGACCATTCACAAATGGCGTTGGCTAAAATTTGGCCAAAATTGACACCACCCCCCGCCATCTTCTGTCATCTTTCCTAGGACTCCCTCACCCCTTTCTAGTTGACGTCAACCAAAATGTACACATGTACATTTAGATAGACTGTACTGGATGCATTTTACATTTACTGTACACTTTTGATTTTTATTTTAAATTTTAAAAATAAAAACTTGTTTATTAAAGATGATACAATAAAGAAATACCTGAATGGTCAAATTATTTATTAACAATTTTATCCTATCGAAATAATTTATTTAAAAAGATTGGATATCATAGTTTGGATAAAAAGCAAACATATTGGAGTGTCATCTCAGCTTGGAAAAAATAAATATCAAATAAATCTTTTCTTTTTTTCCCCCCAACCTTTTAGAGCATCATGGTTGATGTCAACTTTGTAAGGACACCCTCCCCCATGTCAACTAAACTTTTATCAACTTTTCACTGACTCACCCCTCTGAGCTGACGTCATTTGTGAATGGTCCATAATAGATCTACACCTGCATTTCTAAAGAGAAAGATACTTTGACTTTGAAGAATAAAGTGTGTCCAACTATGCACAGAATCAATGATCCTTGTAAGAAGGCTTAAGACAGAAAAGGCTGTTCAAAGTGGATTGTCCTGTACGGAGTACATAAGATTTTCATGTTGGAGCAAATGGATTTATTTTGATCCTTGACATTAAACTTTTGCCCATGAGATATGTGGCTTCCACTGTGTAGTGTAATAGTTAAGCCCTTAACAATTACATGCAAAAGACATGGGTCCAGTTCCTGAAAGGGGAAGTCCCTTTTTTAAAGTATCTCCATCTTCCTTCAGGAATGTTGTTTTCAACTCAGCCAGGGTTGGCTCTGACAGACAGGGTCACAACAGTGCGTCTCCTGAATGACCTACATTGTGTTGATGAGATCGTAAAACGTTAACAATCTTGTGGCTGAAGAGCTGGAAAATGTTGCAATACCTCCAGAAGTACTAGAACTTCTAGTAGAAGCAATAGCATTTTTTTTTCTTTTTACAATACAGAATGTACTGTGAATCTCTTGTTTTTCAGCACTTTCCATCCTTCATTCTCTTTCAATCACCAGACATTTCACTTACAACCTTACAAAGAATCACTGAAACACATTGACATAAAAGAGTGATTGCTTTATTGCTCATCAGTTTAGAATACACTCTGTGATTGACCAATATAACAAAATAAGGACATGTAGTATCATAAAAACAATGCATCACAGCCGAATTTTGAAACAAAATAACGAAAGAAAATCATTGAAAGGAATAATAATTTTAACGACAAGTAATACACAAAGTAAAATTAATCAGAAAAAAACTTCAGTGCTTGCAATCAAAGTCACTTATATTCACTTTGAAATGCACTTGATAAAAAAATAAAAGCAATAAAAATAAAAAGAAATGGAAAAAGAAAAAAACATGTACGTCAAAGTTAAACATATAACATAAAGCAGGTAATTTTACTCATTTGTTTCGAAAGAAAAAGCCAAGTCATATTTCTCAAGAGTTTATTACAAGCAGTTTCTAGTTGGTACTGAATCGTTTTTCACATCAATTTAGAAAACATTTTTAAAACCCTTAAACACTACATGTATTTAACTTTTCAAATATATTTTTTGGCTTTTCATTTAATACATTCAGGCTCAACTTTGAGATCAGGAAACAAACAGATGTATGTACAGTTGCTTTGTTGAGTGAATCCTCATACTACCACTGTCATTTTCATCAAGCTCATCTTTGTGTCAACAGCTCTAGCTTTAAGCATTGGTTTTACTGATTTATATATATTGCGAAAGTCATCCTGCCAGTAAACCCAATATCTGTTCAGCCAGTCACAGTACTCTCAAGATTAAGTCTTACTTAAAAACCATGTTGAACGATTGTTCTCTGATGTTCCTATTTACATTTTATGATGTTTTAAGTTTATCCCAGCTCTCAAACAAATATAGAAGACCATTTTTTGCCCCTTTTCCAAAAGTCAGCAGGAGTGTTAGTTATGATAATAAGGAAATTAAATTAGCGTTTCTCAAATATGACATCCCTCATTTCACGATCTCTTTGTGATGAAGAGGTAACTCCCCTCTGGATCAGAGGTTTCCTCCGTGCAACATGCTCCAAGAAAGGAAGGTTGATATCATCCCGGTACTTCGTAGACAGGACAAGGCTGGAAACATTTATACAAACAGTCAGTTTTCAAGTATAATGATTCACATTTAAGTGTTGCATTTACTAGGTAATTTTTGTTATTTTTCACGATAGTGTTTTACATGCAGATTAATACCAAATGCTCTAAATTTGCTAATGTGATCAAAATCCTGGTTTCTACCGACTCTTAGGGAAGGAAGGTAACCAATTTAAAATATTCTGTACAATTACCATTTGCACTTTACAAAAAGAAACACACTAAGCTATAGCCTCTTCCGTAGTAGTTCATGAATGTTATTATAATTTTTAAGACCACACAAAAGTTTTAATGAGAAAGGGTAGAGGAATGATTCATTTTTAATCTTCCTTAGCTTCAAGAAATTTCCTAACTTACGACTAGCATGAAATTTAGTCACATCTATCCACAAACTTTTTTTCATATAAATAATAAGGAGTTGAACCAACTACACTCCTTGCATGTTTGGTAACAGCAAGGGAATTTTTTTTTAATTGAATATCACCCTCCATATATCTATTGGAAAGCTAAGAATTGTCTTGAGTTTAAAATTCTCAGCCTAAAACTAAAACTGCTCTCTCTCTCTCTCTCTCTCTCTCTCTCTCTCTCCCTCCCTCCCTCCCTCCCTCCCTCTCTCCCTCCCTCCCTCCCTCCCTCCCTCCCTCTCTCTCTCTCTCTCTCTCTCTCTCTCTCTCTCTCTCTCTCTCTCTCTCTCTCTCTCTCTCTCTCTCTCTCTTCTGTTATTATTTTTCAATGATTCATACTTCTGGTCAAAGCTTTAACTTTCATCTGTAATAATTCCATAAACTTCATGTCTCAAATTCAAATACATCCATGTCTTTATAACATTGTCAATATGTTCATGCTTCACAGTCTTGATCTAGTTTATATTTTCAATGATTTAGGATTTCAACAGTTGAAGCTTGAAATATTTCATGCTTGTAACTGTAAAACAAAAAAGTTATAGAGCAAGTAATTTCAAGTCACAGAAATACAACACCAACTATATATAGTGAACATGTCTATTTAATAGTGATGAATAAAAGTTCCTAGTTCACTGCAGAAAAACATCTTCTATTGTAAGTATGTGAGGCACTATTGTGAATTCATTCACAGCAACTCATGAAATTGTGATGTCTTTATATAAGTAATGTCAGCTAGATGTTCTTTCACTTCCAGTTTTTCAAAAATTGCTTTAAATAACAGGGAATGTATTTTTTAAAAGACTTAAAACATTACACATACATTGTGGAATAAACAAACCTTTGAGAAAGTAAAATCAAAATGCATATGAAAGGATAAAGTATTCTCCCCAGAGGCCAAAAGTCTATTTGGTCACTTCATTACATAAAATGAATTAGTTGACTCGAGACTGAGTTTTTTTTAAACTGATGTTCAATGTAAAAGAGTTTCAGTTTCATCAAATTTCTTTGTTTTGAGCATTTTAAATTTAAAGAAGTACTTTGATACAAGACCTCCTGAAATTATAAATTAATAAAAGTCTTACCTGGAGGATACCTGTGACTGTGAGCTGGAGCTCATGAATCAGGTGACAAATATCCTCTTCACGCAGAATGCAAACAAGGCTGTTACACACACAACACTTCAACCATTGCATGAACAAATTAAGTTAGTAGGGGGTGTTAAGCAAAATCCACAAACTTCCAAGCAATAGCAGATCAAGGTGCAAACACACATACAAACACATAAACGAGGCAAAAAGAGTCAAAATATCACATTATAAAGTGTGCAATGATCAAAACTTCATTCAGTTGCCGGACATCCTTTCTTGTCATTTCATGTCCCAAACATAGTTGTCTGCATATTTATTATATCATCATAGGCTATATAACACAGTGGGTGGTAGGAGGGCACTACTGGTAGGTCCTACTTCTTTTCTTTCCCTCTGTTATTTCTGTCTGTCTGTCTTACTTTTCTCCAGCACTTAATGACTTGTATTGTATATAATATATGCTTCTCTTTACTCAAGCAAACAAACAAACAAATTATATCACAGACACTCAATTAGGTTCTCCTAATCTTTGTCACTTTTCTCATTCTCATCCCTTCAAAGCTAACACATTAATTATATTTTAGGGACAATAGGGTGTTTTCCTCTTATGGAATCCAATAGAAAACAAAAAATGAACAATGCCCCTGGACGACTTAACATTAATGAACTGTTTGTTTTCTTTAATCTGTTGTTTCTCTGCTGTCAATAAAACCTCGTTCACACTTATACTTATATTGAATATTCTCTGCTCTTCATAAAAATAATAAGTGGCAAACTTTTTTCATTTGGAAAAAAAGTAATAAAATTTGTAACACATGAAGACAATTTTTTAAAACAAGTTAATTCATTTATTAAATTTCATAGCACTTTTCTAAACAGAAACAATACTAGAGTACTAACATCCCCAAACAGTCAATGCTTCAATTATCTACCACAAAACAGTGCTCAAGTAGGATAAAAGAAAGCTGAGGACTTGTTGAGATCAAATAGAACTGAGAACTGAGAGGGGATATAGAGACTTCCTTGTAAAGAAAATTTAATAAAACAGGTCTCCTAGGCTGCTTTCATTTCAGCATGTCAAAATGTAAAATGTTCTTTACTCAAATCACATTCCTATTTTGAAGGGCTGTCAAAATAACCATGCTGGTGCTTAAGTGAAGGAAAAAAGCGTAAACTGAGTGAATCATGCCCCAATCAGGCAAAACAGCACATCAGCCTATAAAGTCCACACTAACGAAAGCCCTTCTCTAAATTGAAGCCTAGGCCTATAGCACTGCACTCACATTATTTGAAAGCAAACATCTAGTCCCATTTAGCCTAGATATAAACAAAATCAATGATAGTGAACTTACAGTTGTAAAATATATCAGTAATTCTCTTGATTTTGTAATGATCAAGACACTAATTATGAATACCAACAATGCATCCTGATGAGATGAAAGACATTAAACTTACATACATTATATTTTGCTTTTGTTTTTGTTTTTACTCAAAAACTACACAAAATTTGTCAGGACAAAATCTAGTCTTCAAACGTATTTTACAACATGTCAGACGTTCACTGTGCAGCTAGTGTTACCATGTGTTCCACACTGGTGGGAGAAAAATTTGTTCAAATTCATTTTTGAGGTATGAACTTTACTTTTTTTCATTGTGATTGTGCTTTCCATTTGGAATACTTTTTTCACAGGTTTTTAACAAGTTGGTGCAATTCAAACTATTATGCCAAAAAAATTCAATGAAAACAGTAAAGTTAAGAAAATCAAATCCACACAGTTAACAATTCAAAGTGCATCAAAAATTGAACATCAATCAGCAGACGGCACTCATTCACTTACAAAGGGACATTTCTCTTAAACTGCTCTTGGGCTGATGCTGGTATGCTGTAGAAGTCTATGCTCTTGACTGTTCCGCTCTTATCCTTGTAGTGTTCACGGTGTGCTTGTGACAGCTGAGAAAAAAGAATAGAAAACAGGGTCTACTTTTTAGACACCATTATAACATGTTATGTTATAAACATTAAGAAATGGTTTTCCTGATATTGTTAAAGATACAGGCCATAGTTATTGAACAAACTATTTAGAGATTTTCCTTTCCAGCCATAAGATATCATTACAAGTGCAGTCATTCCATGAGGGAGGGGCTCCTGTGGTCTAGAATCTGGATAGCGACTGAAAATGTTCTTCTCTAAAATTTTCTCCTTTCACATCCTTTCCTGCTCTCTAACAATGTTCTGCCGTCTGCTTTCGTCTCCACATTCTGCCCTCACCTCCTTTGCCCCCTCCTCGGGGCCCCTGACTCTTTCTGCAGCCTTTCTACTGCTACTCATTGGCTCCTTCTTACTGCTGTCTTTCAGCCACATCCCTGATATTATGGTAGGAAAGATCTACACCTAGCCTACGAAAAATCTTGGAGGTCCTGTGTGCAAGTTGTACACGTTAAAGATCCCTTGGTGGTCCAAAATTGATAAGAGTAGACTTCAGCTGCCACCTGAGCAAAATTCAAAATTTCCTACCAATTACTGAAAATGTTTAATGTGTCCCGCTCACTCATATGACCTTATGCAGTTGCGAGCGTAGTAAAATACTTACACACACCAACCCCCCCCTCAAAAGCCATTCCATCGACTTGACTTTCTCCAAGACATGTGCTGTCTCTGCTATAATGTCTAGTGGGAGATGCCCACTTCTTAAGTAGGCCTACTGAAAGGGGAGAACCGTATTCATGTTCACACAGAAAAGTTAGCAACATAACAGATAGCCTACAGTCTCTGCATACAAAAGTCATTAAAAAATCCACCCCCCGACTCTCTTTTCATTGTGAAGAAAACGACTTCTTTTATTTGTTTTGTAAAAATCAAATAACATAATACTAGTAAAGTAAACTTTTCTTATTAAATTAAAAATGAAAATGTTGAGCAAGTGTTAGATATTTGAGCATTACCACAGACAACAAACTCGACTGACATGTCCACATTTCTCTCCCGCATAAATAAGTGAACAAAAGACTTTTTTTCCTGAGGAAGCTCATGTATCTTAAAGTTCACAAATCATTGCTGTCCATATTCTATCATTCAACCATAAAAAATACTATCAACTTCTGTAGGACAACATGGGCCGAAAACACAAGACATTCATCAATATAAATTAAAACTGAATCAATTAAAATGGAGAGCCTGCAAAATTCCGACATCTACATTCCCTTATTTGGATGAATTAAATACCGCTTGCACTTAAAAAAATCAATTTAATATTTTTTGGACACCCAACATCTCTTGTTCTCTCAAATTAAAATATCAATAAGAAGTAAAAGACCAGTGCTCAGAAGGTCATTTTTACCACCATCCATTAAACTCCTACCATCTTAATTATCTTATATATATAAGAATTGCTAAGACCTTTTCAGCATATTTCATCAGAACAAGATCAGGTTACTTCTATCAGAACAATGATTAGGGGCCTATGTATCTAGCTTAAACATTATTATTGTTGTTAACTATAACATTTAATGCTAACATTATATCATGCAAGTGACTGTGAGTCTGTTTGTGTGTGTATGTGTGTGTGCATGCGTGTGTGTATGTGTGTGTGTGTGGGCGTGTATGTGTGTGCATGTATGTGTGAGTGTGTTTGTGTGTGTGTGTGACTCACTCTATCAAACTGATACAACTCCTCTTTGCGGTCATGATCCACGTTGGACAGTTGGTACTTGGGAGCTTGGAGCCAGCGATCCTGGGTTCTTGTCCTGTTGCTGATGACAAGGTCAGGGTTGTGGGTGTAAACAGTTGGAAAAGAGCCACCTTTACAATAGGGATCAGCAGAACTGTTCAGCACAGAAGATCTGTAATCCTGAAAGTACTTGGCTGTTTGGTTTCCATATGTTTCACCATAATCATATTTGATCGTTGGGCAATATCCCCTATACCTGCAAGAAAAAACAAAACAAATAACATTGTGACAATGAACAAGTTATATTCAGTAAATTACCTCTTCCTCTTCTTACAGACAAGGAATTCAAGAAAAATGTCTTTCTTAGAACTTAGAGAGAAGCTTCTTCATAAATGTGATAGTTAAACATATACCTTGACTCTCATGATGAACCCACAGGCGCCTACCAGGTTATGCCCAAAGGATACTGAATACAGAACAGCATATGGCCTACCCACGTACATGCGGGAGGATATTCTATTCAGCTTTCAGAGAGGTATAAAGATTAAAAGGACAAGGATGGGTTGTGACATCCAGCCAAGCCCTCAACAGAAGCTCTCTGCTGTTCCCACAGATAAGATGTCAGAAAACCAAGGCCAGGACCAAGTCCACAGTGCTGCGGAGATCCAAACTGTTGAAGAAGACGGAGGGCTGACACAAACTAGAAGGCCCACAATCAACTTTCCTCCTGGTAACTTTTAACTCTTTCCATACACTATTATTTTATCAATTTATACATAATAATAATATACACTAATATACAGACAGACTAGTGGAGCAGTGTGTGGCAAGAGGTGTGGAAAATAAGTGACTTTCTTTTACTTTTAGTTTGAAATAAAATAATGAGAGTGTATACAGACCCGGTAACCGAGAACAAAGTCACAAAGTATACAGACCCGGTAGGGGAACTCTTTTGTGATTTCGGAAAGTTTCAGCGCCTCTTGGCAGAGGGTAGACCTAGGTTCTTCTAGATATATGGCCCAGGTCTAGATCTAGATAGACAGACATAAATCATTGATCTAGTTTCGAGGCTAGCCTAGATCTAGATCTAAATGAAGATTTCGGATGTCTTTTCGATGAACGATCATTTTTTCTCTGTTTTGGAGTTGGAGGAATCACAATTTAAAGAAAAGAACAATTATGTCATAATTTCAATTGAGCAGTCACCCTCTCTATTTTTCTCTCTC